ATTGGATTGTAAAATCTATTCTCTAGTAGATGAGAAACATAAGTCCTGTAAACTTTGAAACTATTTAAAAAACAATTTTTAAAAAATGAAACTTCTAAGTTTTTGAAATCAAATGAAAATGGGCACCCAACAGTCCAAAACCTACGGGACATGGCAAAGGCAGTCCTGAGAGGGAAGTTCATAGCAACACAGGCCTACCTAAGAAAGATAGTAACATTTCAAATAAACGACCTATCCCTCCAACCTCAAGAACTGGAGAAACAACAACTAACACAGCCAGGAGCAAGCAGAAGAAAGGAAATAATAAAGATCAGAGCAGAACTGAATGACATGGAGACTAAAAGTACAATTCAAAGGGTCAACCAATCGAGGAGCTGGTTCTTTGAAAAGATAAACAAAATCGACGAACGTTTAAGCAGACTCATCAAGAAGAAAAGGGAGATGACCCTAATAAACATTATAATACATGAAAGAGGAGGAATTGCAACTGATACCACAGAAATACAAAGGATTGTAAGAAACTACCATGAACAATTATATGCCAAGAAATTTGAAAACCTTGATGAAATGGACAAATATCTAGAAAAGTATAACCTTCCAACACTGAATGAACGAAGCAGAAAGCCTAAACAGACTGATACCAGCGGGGAAAATTGAAGCAGTAATCAAAAAACTCCTGGCACACAAAAGCCCTGGACCGGATGGGTTCACCGGAGAACATTTCAAAACATTTAAGGAAAAGCTAACCCCTGTCCTTCTCAGACTCTTCCAAAAATATCCAAGAAGAGGGAAGGCTCCTAAACTCTTTTTATGAGGCCAGCATCATCCTAATCCCAAAACCAGATAAAACCACAACAAAGAAAGAAAACTGCAGGCCAATATCACTGATGAAAACAGACACTAAAATCCTCAACAAAATATTGGCAAACTGCATCCAGCAATACAGGAAAAAGTTCATCAGTCAGGGTCAAGTGGGATTTATCCCACGGATGCAAGGATGGTTTAATATTCGCAAGTCAATAAACATAATACATCACGTAAACAAAAGGAAAGACAAAAACCACATGACCATATCAATAGAAAAAGCATTTGATACGGTACAGTATCGATTTATGATAAAAACACTCAGCAGAGTGAGAATAAAGGGGGCATACCTCAATGTAATAAAGGCCATATATGAAAAACCTACAGCCAACCTCATACTCAATGGGCAAAAACTCAAAGCTTTCCCACTAAGATCGGGAACAAGACAAGGATGTCCGCTTTCACCACTTCTATTCAACATAGTATTGGAAGTTGTAGCCACAGTGATCAGACAAGAAAGGGAAATAAAAGGCATCCAAACTGGGAAGGGGGATGTAAAACTGTCATTGTTTGCAGATGACACCACAGTGTACTTAGAAAACCCCATAGACTCCACCAAAAAACTGCTCTACCTAATAAGTGAATTTGGCAAAACAGCAGGATACAAAGTCAACATTCAGAAACCAAAGGCATTTTTGTACACCAAAAATGAAATATCAGAAGCAGACATCAGGAAAAAAAAAAAACCCATTTGCTATAGAAACAAAAAACATAAAGAACCTAGGAATAAACTTAACCAAGGAGGTAAAAGACCTGCATGCAGAAAACTATACAACACTGAAGAAAAAAAATTAAGGAAGACACAAATAAATGGAAGCATATACCATGTTCATGGATTGGAAGGATTAACATCATCAACATGTCCATACTACCCAAAGCAATTGACAGATTCATTGCAATCCCTATTAAAATACCAAGGACGTATTTCAAAGACATAGAACAAACATTTACAAAATGTATATGGAACCATAAATGATCCCAAATAGCCGCAGAAATTCCGAGAAAGAAGAACAAACTGGGGGGATCACAATACCTGACATCAAACTGTATTCCAAGGCCACTGTAATCAGAACAGCCTGGTACTGGCATAAGAGCAGACACATAGGTCAATGGAACAGAATAGAGAGCCCAGAAATAAACCCATGTCTCTATGGTCAATTAACATGCAACAAAGGGGGCAGAAGCATAAAATGGAATAGAAATAGCCTCTTCAACAAATGGTGTTGGGAGAGCTGGACAGCATGCCAAAAATTGAAATTCGACCCCCAACTCACACCATACACAAAATAAACTCAAGATGGGTAAAAGACTTAAGAATCAGTTGCAACACCATAAAAGTCCTAGAGGAGAACATAGGCAGGAAACTCTCAGATATCCCACACACTGATATTTTCACTGATACGCCCCCCTAGAGCAAGGGTCATAAAGGAAAGAATAAACAATTGGGACTTCATTAAAATAAGTAGCTTCTGCACGGCTAAAGAAAACATCAGCAAAATGAAAAGGGAGCCATCCACGTGGTAAACTATATTTGCCAATGATACCTCAGACAGGGGTTTGATCTCCAAAAGATATAAAGAACTCACATGACTCCACTCCAGGAAGACAAACAATCCCATTAAAAAATGAGCCAAGGACCTGAACAGATACTTCTCTGTGGAGGACTCACACAGGGCCCTGAGGCATATGAAAGGATGCTCATCATCACTAGCCATCAGAGAGATGCCAATTAAAATCACAGTGAGATCCCACTTCACGCCGGTCAGAATGGCCATCATAAACAGATCAACAAACAACAGGTGCTAGCGAGGCTGTGCAGAGAAGGGATCCCTAGTCCACTGTTGGTGGAATGCAGACTGGAGCAGCCTCTGTGGAAAGCAGTGTGCAATTTCCTCAAAAAGCTGACAATGGAACTGCCTCTTGACCCAGCGATTCCACTGCTGGGATTATACCCTAAGAATCCCAAAATGCCAAATCAGAAGAACCTATGCACCCCAATATTCATAGCAGCACAATGTACAATAGCCAAGTGCTGGAAACAACCTAAGTGCCCATCAGTAAATGAGTGGATCAAAAAACTATGGTACATTTACACAATGGAATACTACACAGCAGAAAGAAAGAAAGAGCTACTACCCTTTCTGATAGCATGGATGGAACTGGAGAGCTTTATGCTAAGTGAAATAAGCCCAGGAGGTAGCAGACAAATACCATATGATCTCACCTATAAGAGGAACCTAGCCAGCAAAGCAAGCAGGCAAGGAAAATACGACCAGCGACACTGAAAGAAAGAAGAAACCAACAGGGACTAGAGTAAGGAGGGTGTTTAGAGGGGAGGGGAAGGGGAAGGGTCAGATCAAGGAACAGGTGTGAAGGACATTTGATGAAGCCAAGGTGGGGAAGGATTATGGGGGCGTGTAGTCTGGGTGGGTGGGGCAGTGGAGAGTGGTGGTGGGTAAATGAAACCCATGTATTGAAACAATAAAAAAAATTTAAAAAGAAAAGAAACTTCTGTGATACCTGCATCATAGAGTACCATGTTTATCAATTTTAAATATTCATGATCCCAGTGAAATGTTGTCTTAGTCAGCTTGTTGAAAGAAATTATCATAGACTGTGTACCTTAGCAGAAATTTAGTTTTTCATAGTACTGGAGGCTGAAATTCTGAAATCTGCGTGCCAGAATGTTCGGGTTCTGGTGAGAGCCCTCTTCTTTGCTTACAGAAGTCTGCCTTCTTGTGTTCTCACATCGTGGAGAGGGAGAGAGAGAACAAGTATCTGATAAGGGTTGAACCTTCAAAGGAATGAAAACAGCAGCAAGTTTCTGTGGCTCTGCGTTTTTCCATCCTCCAATAAAGCCACTGTCTTTCTGTCATAGTTTTCTTCTTAAAACAGCTAGGTCTCCAGTGTCTCTTAAGGGCATGATTCCATCACAAGGACTCTACCCTCATAACCTCATCTAAACCTAATTACTGCCCAAGGTCCCATGTTCAAATACCATCACAGTGCAGGGGTTAGACTTTAATATAGGAATTTTGGAAAGACACAGACACTCCATAAAAAGTAGTTGTTATGGTGTTACAATGATGTTAGACCAGGGATCCAGGAGGATTAAAATCCTTCCGTGGTTTTAATCTATCCCTAAATTTGGGGAACAATGGCAAAATAGGGCAAATACTATTACTAACTAAAGCTCTGTAATCTTGAACCCCAGGGCTAAGCTGTTAGCACAGGAGAACTCATTCACTTAAATGGTTTGCTTGAATGACGTTGACAAATCCTACACCATGAGCCAAGAATGGCTTTTACATTTCAAATGGTGGAAAAATTCAAAAGATTATGTGACATTTGAAAATTATATGAAATTCACAATTTAGTGCCCCTGAATAAAGTTTTATTAGAATACAGACACACTCATTTGTTTATACGTCATCAATGGCTGTTTTCCTGCTACAATGGCAGAATTCAGTGGTTTCAGAAGAACCTAAAATAGTTGCTCTTTGGCCCTTTAGTGAAAAAGCTTGCTATTCAATCTTTATGGGTTTTTTTTTTTATCTTTTCTTTTCTTTTTTTCATTCTTCAATCTTTAAGCAAAGTTGACCAAACTTGATTTGCCTATTCCCAAGTCTAAATCTTAGCTCAATATATCATTTCAAAAAGATGCAGAGCTAAATGGGTCCAGAGACATAGTATTTATTCCAAAGCCTGGCATGAGCTAGTTTTGAGATTAACTTCAAATGGTCTAATGACAGACCTTGCTGTTCCAAAAAAACAAAAACGAACAAGCAAACAAAAACCTAAGAGACAAAGACATATGGCTTTATTGGAAGAAGGAAGAACGCAGAGCCATGGTAATTTCTGATATTTTCATTCCTTTGAGAGTTCAGCCCTTAGCAAAGATAGTCCAGGGTCCTGAAATTGGACCAGTCTAGATCAAGATTTATCTTCCTTTGAGTCTCTACCCTTGATTCACACTTATCACTTAAGTTGAAGGAGATGGAGAAATAGGACCTAAGAGTGGTACCCTTTCTAAAATTCAACATTAATTAATGAAACGGGTGGCATTGTTGAAATCAGTTCCTGTTTCTGACTTGTTTTTGTTTTCTTCCTCTTCCCTTTCCCCAACATACACAAAGGTGATTTTAAAGGATGTGGACTCACTTCTCTACGTGGACACTGATGTTCTCTTTCTGAGACCTGTTGATGACATCTGGAAATTTCTGAGGCAGTTTAATTCTACCCAGCTTGCAGCCATGGCCCCAGAGCATGAAATCCCCAAAATTGGCTGGTATAGCCGCTTTGCTCAACACCCTTTTTATGGCTCTACAGGAATTAATTCAGGAGTCATGCTAATGAATTTAACTCGTATAAGAACTGCCCAGTTCAAGGTAAGGAAGTATTCTGTATTTCCTTGTTTAAAAATTGGAATTTAATCTTTTCTAGAGTGTCAAGGTACTAACATTGTAAGTAGGTAACTTATAGGTGATGATGTTAGGAGCCAGGGAAAAGTGTTCAGAAAGTTATGAAATATTTGTTCAGGAACAGTCCAAGTGGTTTTTGAATTTAAAGCTTCAACAGGTTTGCTATTGAGGACTATTATGTTATGTTGAATTTCTGATTTCCATAATGTTTGAACTCTATATATATTCAGTGCCTCAAAAATCATAGGAAAAGTTCTTGAAATTACCCTAGAGATATATTTACATAAATACATAGGATATTTCTACAGGCTGTACATGACTTTTTATCCTAGAAAATAATTGGAAAGAACCTAAATGAACATCAGTAGAATATTATTCCAAAAATTATACTGCTGTTAAAAAGAATTAGGTAAATCTGTGAGATAAATAAGATCTCAAAAAAATACTAAGTGAAAAAATTAGAATACAACAAAGCATGATATTGTAGAGTGTTATCCCTTTTATGCCTTATAAATTTCCAGAAAAATACCTAACAGATTATTTATTGTAAACTGTAGGTACTTTTAAGGAAACTGGGAATGGGAATGCAGAAGGCTGGAGGAAGAGTAATTTTACCTTATTTTAGATCTTTGTATGATGTTTCAATGTTTAGTTTGTGAATACATTGTTTTATTTTTACTTATATTTTCTTTACCTTTTCTTTAATGTTCAAATATAAGTCTCCATTTCCCTACCACCATCTTCTGCTGCCCTTCCCAACGCCATCTCTCCCTCAACCCTCCCCTACTTCTTCCTGTCCTTGTGTCCTTCACACCTGTTCCTTGATCTGACCCTTCCCTTTCCCCTCCCCACTAAACACCCTCCTTACTCTAGTCCCTGTTGGTTTCTTCTTTCTTTCAGTGTCGCTGGTCGTATTTTCCTTGCCTGCTTGCTTTGCTGGCTAGGTTCCTCTTATAGGTGAGATCATATGGTATTTGTCTGCTACCTCCTGGGCTTATTTCACTTAGCATAAAGCTCTCCAGTTCCATCCATGCTATCAGAAAGGGTAGTAGCTCTTTCTTTCTTTCTGCTGTGTAGTATTCCATTGTGTAAATGTACCATAGTTTTTTGATCCACTCATTTACTGATGGGCACTTAGGTTGTTTCCAGCACTTGGCTATTGTACATTGTGCTGCTATGAATATTGGGGTGCATAGGTTCTTCTGATTTGGCATTTTGGGATTCTTAGGGTATAATCCCAGCAGTGGAATCGCTGGGTCAAGAGGCAGTTCCATTGTCAGCTTTTTGAGGAAATTGCACACTGCTTTCCACAGAGGCTGCTCCAGTCTGCATTCCACCAACAGTGGACTAGGGATCCCTTCTCTGCACAGCCTCGCTAGCACCTGTTGTTTGTTGATCTGTTTATGATGGCCATTCTGACCGGCGTGAAGTGGGATCTCACTGTGATTTTAATTGGCATCTCTCTGATGGCTAGTGATGATGAGCATCCTTTCATATGCCTCAGGGCCCTGTGTGAGTCCTCCACAGAGAAGTATCTGTTCAGGTCCTTGGCTCATTTTTTAATGGGATTGTTTGTCTTCCTGGAGTGGAGTCATGTGAGTTCTTTATATCTTTTGGAGATCAAACCCCTGTCTGAGGTATCATTGGCAAATATAGTTTACCACGTGGATGGCTCCCTTTTCATTTTGCTGATGTTTTCTTTAGCCGTGCAGAAGCTACTTATTTTAATGAAGTCCCAATTGTTTATTCTTTCCTTTATGACCCTTGCTCTAGGGGGCGTATCAGTGAAAATATCAGTGTGTGGGATATCTGAGAGTTTCCTGCCTATGTTCTCCTCTAGGACTTTTATGGTGTTGCAACTGATTCTTAAGTCTTTTACCCATCTTGAGTTTATTTTGTGTATGGTGTGAGTTGGGGGTCGAATTTCAATTTTTGGCATGCTGTCCAGCTCTCCCAACACCATTTGTTGAAGAGGCTATTTCTATTCCATTTTATGCTTCTGCCCCCTTTGTTGCATGTTAATTGACCATAGAGACATGGGTTTATTTCTGGGCTCTCTATTCTGTTCCATTGACCTATGTGTCTGCTCTTATGCCAGTACCAGGCTGTTCTGATTACAGTGGCCTTGGAATACAGTTTGATGTCAGGTATTGTGATCCCCCCCAGTTTGTTCTTCTTTCTCGGAATTTCTGCGGCTATTTGGGATCATTTATGGTTCCATATACATTTTGTAAATGTTTGTTCTATGTCTTTGAAATACGTCCTTGGTATTTTAATAGGGATTGCAATGAATCTGTCAATTGCTTTGGGTAGTATGGACATGTTGATGATGTTAATCCTTCCAATCCATGAACATGGTATATGCTTCCATTTATTTGTGTCTTCCTTAATTTTTTTTCTTCAGTGTTGTATAGTTTTCTGCATGCAGGTCTTTTACCTCCTTGGTTAAGTTTATTCCTAGGTTCTTTATGTTTTTTGTTTCTATAGCAAATGGGTTTTTTTTTTTTCCTGATGTCTGCTTCTGATATTTCATTTTTGGTGTACAAAAATGCCTTTGGTTTCTGAATGTTGACTTTGTATCCTGCTGTTTTGCCAAATTCACTTATTAGGTAGAGCAGTTTTTTGGTGGAGTCTATGGGGTTTTCTAAGTACACTGTGGTGTCATCTGCAAACAATGACAGTTTTACATCCCCCTTCCCAGTTTGGATGCCTTTTATTTCCCTTTCTTGTCTGATCACTGTGGCTACAACTTCCAATACTATGTTGAATAGAAGTGGTGAAAGCGGACATCCTTGTCTTGTTCCCGATCTTAGTGGGAAAGCTTTGAGTTTTTGCCCATTGAGTATGAGGTTGGCTGTAGGTTTTTCATATATGGCCTTTATTACATTGAGGTATGCCCCCTTTATTCTCACTCTGCTGAGTGTTTTTATCATAAATCGATACTGTACCATATCAAATGCTTTTTCTATTGATATGGTCATGTGGTTTTTGTCTTTCCTTTTGTTTACGTGATGTATTATGTTTATTGACTTGCGAATATTAAACCATCCTTGCATCCGTGGGATAAATCCCACTTGACCCTGACTGATGAACTTTTTCCTGTATTGCTGGATGCAGTTTGCCAATATTTTGTTGAGGATTTTAGTGTCTGTTTTCATCAGTGATATTGGCCTGCAGTTTTCTTTCTTTGTTGTGGTTTTATCTGGTTTTGGGATTAGGATGATGCTGGCCTCATAAAAAGAGTTTAGGAGCCTTCCCTCTTCTTGGATATTTTTGGAAGAGTCTGAGAAGGACAGGGGTTAGCTTTTCCTTAAATGTTTTGAAATGTTCTCCGGTGAACCCATCCGGTCCAGGGCTTTTGTGTGCCAGGAGTTTTTTGATTACTGCTTCAATTTTCCCCGCTGGTATCAGTCTGTTTAGGCTTTCTGCTTCGTTCATTCAGTGTTGGAAGGTTATACTTTTCTAGATATTTGTCCATTTCATCAAGGTTTTCAAATTTCTTGGCATATAATTGTTCATGGTAGTTTCTTACAATCCTTTGTATTTCTGTGGTATCAGTTGCAATTCCTCCTCTTTCATGTATTATAATGTTTATTAGGGTCATCTCCCTTTTCTTCTTGATGAGTCTGCTTAAACGTTCGTCGATTTTGTTTATCTTTTCAAAGAACCAGCTCCTCGATTGGTTGACCCTTTGAATTGTACTTTTAGTCTCCATGTCATTCAGTTCTGCTCTGATCTTTATTATTTCCTTTCTTCTGCTTGCTCCTGGCTGTGTTAGTTGTTGTTTCTCCAGTTCTTGAGGTTGGAGGGATAGGTCGTTTATTTGAAATGTTACTATCTTTCTTAGGTAGGCCTGTGTTGCTATGAACTTCCCTCTCAGGACTGCCTTTGCCATGTCCCGTAGGTTTTGGACTGTTGTCTGTTCCTTTTCATTTGTTTCCAGAAACTTTTTGATGTCTTCTTTGATCTCATTATTGACCTCTTCATTTTATAATAGCGTGCTATTCAGTCTCCATGACTTTGAATGTTTTTGAGTTTTTTGGCTGAGGTTGGTTTCTAGTTTCAAGCCCTCATGGTCCAAGAAAATGCTTGTTATGATTTCAATTTCCCTTATTTGTTGTGGCTTGGTTTATGTCCTATCATGTGTTCTATTTTTGAAAATGTTCCGGGTGCATCTTTGGGATGAAAGGTTCTATATATGTCAATTAAGTCCATTTGATCTTATGCCTCATTCAGTTCCACAATAACCTTGTTGATGTTTTGTTTGGAAGATCTATCCATTGTTGACAGTGAGGTGTTAATGTCCCATACTATCAGTGTGTTACTGTGTATATCTTTCTTGAAGTCCTCCAAGGTTTTCCTTATATATTTGGGTGCTCCTATGTTGGGTGCACATAGGTTTACAACATGTATGTCTTGATGGATTCTTCCTTTGAGTATGATGATGTGTCCTTCCGGGTCTCTTTTTATGGCCTTTGTTTTGAAATCTATTTTGTCTGATATAAGTATTGCTATCCCTGCTGTTTGTTTTTTTTCCTGTCCATTTGCTTGGAATATTTTTTTCCATCCCTTTACTCTCAATCTGCCTAGGTCCTTTGTTCTGAGGTGGGTCTCTTGTAGGCAGCATATGTGTGGGTCATGTTTTCCTATCCATTCAGCTATCCTGTGTCTTTTGATTGGGGCATTTAATCTATTTACACTTAAAGTTATTATCGATAGGTACTTACTCATTTTTTCCCTTTGTACCTGTGTACCTCTCTCACTCTTTTTCTTCACCTTATTAAATCAATTCCTTTAGCTTATCTTGTAGTGCTGGTTTCGTGGAGATGTATTCTTTCAGCCTTCTTTTGTCTGGGAAACTCCTAACTTCTCCTTGCATTTTAATTGAGAGCCTTGCTGGATAGAGTAGTCTTGGCTGCAGGCCTTTACTTTTTATTACTTGGAATATTTCTTGCGATTCCCTCTGGCTTGTAGTGTTTCTGTTAAGAAGTCAGCTGCTAGCTGTATTGGGGCTCCCTTGGATGTTACTACCTGTTTCTCCCTTGCTGCTTTTAGGATTCTCTGTTTGTCTTTGATATTTGCCATTTTAATGATGATGTGTCTTGGAGTGGGCCCCTTTGGGTTCCTCTTGAATGAGACCCTCTGTGCTTCTGGAACTTGCGAGACTTTTTCTGTCCTCCAATTAGGGAAGTTTTCCATCATGATGTTTTCAATCAGGTTCTCTATCCCTTGTTCCTCTTCTCCTTCTGGTATCCTTATTATACGGATACTATTATGTTTCAAGTTGTTCTGCATTTCGCTAAATGCTGCTTCATTCTTTTTGAGTCTTTTTTCATTGTCTTGCTTTTTCTGGGAGTTTTTTTCTACCTTGTCCTACAGCTCACTTATTCAATCCTTTGCTTCTTCAGGCCTTCTTTTGATTCCTTCGACTGTGTCCTTCAATTCAGAAATTGTATTCATTTCTTCTTTACTCTTATTGATCGTTTCTATGTCCTCTTTCATGCTATTATAGTTTGCAGCAAATTTTTTGTAGTTTCTCTGTAGTGTTTGGTAATTCTCTCTGAGCTCAGTGAGCTTTTCTTAGACCCAGTGTTTTGAACTCAATATCTGATATTTTATGTGCACCTTTTCATTTAATTCTCTCTCTGGGGATTCCTCCTTTTCCTTCTATTGGAGGATGTTTCTCCCCTCCCCCCCCCGCCATTATTTGTGAGACTCTTCTTTTTTGCTTCTACTTCTTAAATTGATCTGTCTTGACTTCCTGACTTTGTGGTGTGAACTTCTATGGTAGGAGACCACTTTTTTTTCCTTCTTCTTACTGTAACTTCCTCTGATGATGTCAGCTATTATGTCTTTCTCACCTTAGGCAGTCTTTAGGAGATTTCCAGAAATCTATAGTGTGTCTCTCCTCCAGTTGTTAATCTAGTCACTCTGTCCTCAGCAGTCAGCCTTAGGCATCACATGACAGGGCACAGTCCTTCCTGTGAGTGGGGTTATTTTGTCCTTTTACAGTCCTGCTCTTCAGGGGAGTAGTCCGCCTGAGCAAGATGGCTGCTGCTGTATGGGGGAGAAGTCAGCACTGGGATCCCTCTAAGCTACTCCCTCAGTTTTCTCCCCAAATCCTCTCTGTCCAGACTCTCCCCAAGTGCCTCTAGACCACCCTGTGTCCCCTTCCATCAAGAATCTACTATCTGTTATTGCCGCTCTGTACTCAGCACCCAGGCATGCAGAACCCCAGGTAGGGGCAGAGGCTTCTGGGGGTGGGGCTGTCGTGTCCTTTCAGGCTGCTCTCACTCAGGGTAGTTGTCTGCCTGAGCAAGATGTCTGCTGTCCTATGAATGAGGAGCCAACACCAGGATCTCCCTGGCTACTCCTTCAGTTCTCTCCCCAATGCCTCTGTCTCCAGACTCTCCCCAAGCACCCCTAGACCAGTCTTCATCCCCTATAACCAGGGATGTACTATCTATGACTGCTGCTCTCTACTCAGTACCCAGGCCTGTGCAATGCCGGGCAGGGACAGAGCCTCCTGGGGTTGTGGTTCTTGTGTCCTTTCAGGCTGCTTGCACTCAGGGGAGTGGTCTGCCTGAGCAAGATGGCAGCTGTGGAATAGGGGGTGAGTCTGCACTAGGACCCCACCAGCCCCTCTCAGTTCTTACCCCATAGTCACCCTCCCCAATCTTTCCTCAGAGGGCTACATCCCACTCTACCCCTGCCTTTGCCGGAACCCAGGATAAGTGGCTGCCACTACAAATTTTTCATTTAAATGGTTCTTTGCATCTCCACCTGCCTATCTCTTGCAGAGAGCACCCCTATGCTTTTCGCATATGGCTGTTGTCTGTGTGCTTTTTGGGGGCTCTGGTGCTGCAAGCTGGATATCCCTGCCTATGGTTTAGACCCCTCTCTTCTCAGGGGGATCCAATTGGCTGTTTCAATATCCCTCTGGCACTGCCACCTATGGGCACCCTGCCCACCTTCTCGAGCCTCTATTACACTCCTTATCAGTAAGGTTGTGCTCAAGCCAATTTCTCTGTCTGTCCGAGGTTTTAAGACTCCTCTCTCACTAATGTTCTGCTGTTTTCCTGGTGATTTCTTCACACTTTAGTTGCAATTCCAGTTTGGTCCTGGGTGGAGGTCAGTGTGACTTCCACTCACTCTTTTCCTCCATCTTGAAGTCTAGTATCACATTTATTTTTAAATTAAATGATTATTTTAAGACAAGAAAAGGATGTTTTTTGTTAAGATAACATGATTCTGTTATCTCTACACTTCAGGGGCAAAATTAAGAGTCTTAAAAAAGAACATCAATTTGGGGCATGGCTTTCTTTTATTTTTCTTTTTTAGATTTTATTTATTTAGATAGGGGAAGAGAGGGCGAAAGAGAGGGAGAGTAATACCGGTGTGTGGTTGCCTCTCATGCACCCCCACTGGGGACCTGGCCTGCAACCCAGGAGTGTGCCCTGACTTGGCATCAAACCAGCAATCCCTTGGTTTGCAGGCCAGCACTCAATCTACTGTGCCACACCAACCAGGGACAGGCATGGTTTTCTAAGTAGAAATTATGGCCCAACTACCTGTTCCTACTCTAGGTAGTGTTCATGTGTACATTTAAAATGCTACAATCCAAAGCCCTAAATTTACTTTGTCCTATGCCTTGAGCTCAGCAGGATTCCTCTTCTATTTGCTTTTTTGGAAAGAGTGGATCAATCCCTCTACATTGTTTCTCAGCAGACAAGATGTGTTTGCTTTGCTTCAGCTGCTCTGATGGTTTTCTCTTTTCCAGAACAGTGTGATTCCAACAGGCTTAGCTTGGGAGGACATGTTGTATCCTCTGTACCAGAAGTACAAGAATGTCATCACATGGGGAGACCAGGATTTATTAAATATTATTTTTTACTTCAATCCAGGTAGGTTGCTTTCCAGAATGTTATTTGTATGGGAGTATGCTCACCTCATCTCAGCAAGCACATTCCAGCCAGGTCTGATATGGAGGAAGCTTGACCTCTTCCTGTGTTCCCCTACCTTAATCCTTGGCTAGGAGGTGCAACCTTTCATGCATCCCTAGGATCTATGGAGGTGGGTCATTGTGCTGCTGACACAAAATGCCAAATGATGAAACAGCCAACACTGGACTCCATTTTTCAGGAATCTCTTTTGGATTTTGCTAACACTGTTCTTCTAAGAAGCACAGTCAAAATTAATGGGAGGCACAGAACTTAATGAAAACATAATAATCTAGGCATGAGGCCCTCCTAGCCTAAACAATTGAACCTTGGGATGCTTAAAGTGAAGTGACTTGTTCAGAGATAAAAGAACCTAAAATAAGAACTCAAATTCCCAAATCCCCCTTTTTTTCATCTGGGGTAAGAGAAATTCTTCTTATAATGTTAAGTCAGTGATTTGGTGGAGTTAGGGGGAGGAGGGAAGCAAACATTTCTGGGCTATGTTTTTATTTTGACTCCTAAAGCTAACAAAAATTATTTTCTTCTTGCTGAAACCATACTTAATGTCATTAAAATCAAAATCATGTATTCTCCTTAAGAAATATCTTTGGAGATAAAGAACACTCTTACCCCAACTTACTCAGGCCTTTGTCTTTAAAAAATTCTGAGGTAGAGACTCTTATTTTTGAAGACTTTTTCCATGTGGTTGCAAATCACCCTGGAAGCCCCCACTACATACCTTTATTTTCTTTAACAAAACCCTGAAATAAAACCTAATCTCATGTCTTCAGATCAAAAGGATATAATTCAGGGGGAAATAAGCTGATACAGTTTCTGGCAGAGACACCCAATACACATTCATTAGACAAAGGAAAACTGTCATTCACTTGTGGGGTTTCAGTCCATTACCCTCTCATAATAGCAGAGATTTTAAATTCTGCTTTTTCTTGTTCAGAACATTTCATTTTTTTTCTAGGTGTAGATGTATTGGTTAGAATACTTGACTGCAAATAAAAGACTCCTGGAGTTAGTCTAAGGAAAAAATTTACTTTTTTATTAAAAAAACAAAACAGAAATGGTGTCCCATAGAAACTAAGGGCAGAGAGAAATCCAGTGATATCCATCACATTGAAAGGTGAGCACTTTCTATAAACTTGAACAAACTATATTTGGGGAAAAAAAAGATTTTTTTCATCTTTATCCCTGGCAAGGAGAAAGGGATAAAAATTGGCCCTGACACAGGAGGTAAACTTGCTTATTGTTATGGTTCTTTGGGTTGCAATGGGAGAAGCAATGAACACAAAACTGAAGCATATGACTAGAATATTATTATGTTATTGTCATAACCTTCTGTAGCCAATAATATCACTTTTAAGATGTGTTTAAAAGTCATTAGTTAAAAACATGTTTTAAAACTCTTGCTATAATTAGAGCGTGCATAGCTGGGGGTTTGAGGGGGTGGTAACTGCAGTGCTGGGTAATAAGCTGGCTCAGGAGATGCTAGAGCCCATGGAGGGCATGCAGGTAGGTCAACCTACAGGATATTCTCCTGGAAAGTGAGCTAAGTCACCTTCTTCAAGGGGTGGAAGACTGAATTCACATCTTTACAGGTGAATTTGAGTTAAAGAGCAGAATCCTATAGAAAGGGTAAATTTGTCAAGGGCCAAAAGAGAACTCTATGTAGAAAGATGTGCTTGGATTAATGCCCCTAGGTTGCAAAGAACAAAACTCCACTCAGGCAGATTAAGTAAGGGTCCAGGGCAGACCCATGAACACAGGGATCAGATCATGCCAGTCCTTGTGAGAATGAGCTCCAGGGAGCTGCTGAGGACCACAGTTGACTCCTTTATCTCTCCTGGTCTCTGTCGTTTTACTTCTCTCCATACCCATCTGATTCTATTTTACCTTTTTAGACAGCATTCTCTCTTTGCACATGATCCAACCCTGAGGTTATGTTGAACAATCTTACAAGCCAAAACCAATGATGATAGTTTTCCTGTTTTTTAATTCAAATTATTGGAGATAGAGAGAGAGAAAGATTGGCCTGACTCAGCCTATGCAATGATTTCCAACCTAGCTTTGAATCAGTTCTCTTTAGATAGTGATACTACTCTTGATCTGGTCATCAGAGGCCAAAGCAGCAAGGTTATGTGGAATTTTTCTCTCTCAAACATGACCACCTAGTTCTGTCTCTGCTTTGGAGCAATTTCTAGAAAAATAGGTTGAGGGCAGGGAAGGAAATGAAATGAGCCAAGTATAGATGACAAAGCAGCGCATCCAGCCAGGGTAAGTTTCTGCCCATAGGGAGAAAGAAGAGTTGAAATAATCATGGGAGATTATATATATACATAATCCTGGGAGATTTTATATCTATATCTATCTATATATCTATACCTATACCTATACCTATATCTATATCATCTATATCTACATCTATATCATCTATATCTTTATCTATAGATCTCTTTATATAAATATCTATCTATCTATCTATCTATATAGCATAACTTCAGTATGTAACTAGGGAGTTAGGAGGTTTTACTTGGGGCCACAGAGAAGAGGACACATAGTCACATGGGATGTGTCTCTTCAGTGGCCCTGTCAGGGTTTTGTTCTCATACTGCCAAGTGATTACTGGAGCTCTGCACTTGAGTGTGAAACAATATTGTTTACTCCACCAAAAGCATCCCGCAACTGGCAGTTAAGAGTGTGGTTCTTTTTTTGGGGTAGGGGATTGACAGGCTCAATTATTTGGTATTAGGACTGTTCTTGGAAACTGGTAACAAAATGTTGTTTTGGGAGCCTGGGAACTTCATTAAATCTGATATAAAACACATGAATGAAGATTGTAGGGTCCTCATGAGAAGAGGTTGTGTCTACTTTGTCTTTCACAGGGCAAACATTAGTGCCTTAAATGGAGCTGGTCTTCAGAAGTGTTGGGTTGGTTGAATAAATGGCATTAGGAGAATGGAGTGAAAGAGGGAAGTAGATGGAAGATAAAGATGACAGCAAGGAAAATGAGAGGAAAGGAAAGTGGGGAGAGAAAGGAAAGGAAGAAAGGAGAAAGATACAGATTGCAGAGGGATGTATAAGGTTTCGTTCACTCATTTTTTCAGCAGATTTTTTTAGCACCTGCTATGTACCAGCTATAGAGTTAGGCACTGGGGATATGGCAGCAGGCAGAATAGGCAAAGTGTCATTTTCATGAAATGTACCTTTTATTGGAAGAGGTAGACTTCCAAAGAATAACAGCTATTCATTCAAAATCTCAAAATGTGATGAATTCTATAAAGGAAAAAGGTGAAGGATTGAGAAAGACTATCAAAGCTGGAGGAAAGTAAATCTTCTTTGAAGAATTAATTGCCCTTTTCTGAAATAAGATGCATTCTGGAAAATAGAAGAGAAGGATGAGAAAGCTCAGTTCCAGGATGAGACATTAACAAAATTAAACAAACAAATAAACAAACATAAAACCATTAATAGTGCGAACAGCCTCTGTTCTGTTGATACAGTGTAGTAACTGAGCAGCAAAACTGTTTCACTGTGAAGTTAAAATAATCAGTTATAATCTATTCCATAACCTTAGAGATACCAAGAGTCTGAAATAATCAGAAGTGTAAGAGAGAGTGAATTCATACAGCACTTTGCAAGTAGTTAGGAGGCTCTGAAAATAAATGTAAGTCTCCTGAAATGACCACAAAAGGATCTCAGACCCATAGACCATCAGTTAAGAAAGTTAATGATGAGTTTCTTTTTTATTTTATTTTTTCAATCGCAGTTCACATACAATATTATATAAATTTCAGGTCTACAATATCATGATTAGATATTTATATAACTTACAAAGTGATCACCCAGATTGGTCTAGTACCCACTTGGCACTATACATTGTTATTAAAATATAGTTCACTATATTCCCTTTGCTGTATTTTATATCCTTGTGACTATTTTATAACTGCTAACTTGTACTTCTTAATCCCTTTACCTTTGTCACCTAGTCCCTGGAACAATCCTCCCCTCTGGCAACCACCAGTTCATTCTCTGTAATGAAGAGCTTCTTTATCTATGTAAAATGGAGAGAAAAATGGCCAAGACACAGGGTTTGAAGACAGGTTGACTTGTAAAAATATTTTAATATGAATTGTAGTAGTTTCAGCCTTTAAAGGTTTGGAATTTTAAAAAAATGTTCATTCTATTATTTCCTCAGCAGTGCAAAAATAACCTGAATATTTCACCATGCAATAATTTTTAAACATCAGATTTTGACACCCCTGATAATCTTGCTTAAAAGAGATCCATTTTGGAATAGTTAGTGATCTTTTGCCAAATAAACTTCATTGGTCAACTCTGCATGTTTATTGGCTGATACATAGTTTTCCATCTTCATCCCACTCCATGATGCTAGTTGAGCCTCTTACCTCCTCCTCCTTCCTATTAACCAAATGGAGATTTCAAAGTATAACCCATGCAAAATTTATCTGTGAATAAAAAGACATATCTGTTATTTTTAATTGTCCACTTTTGATTTCCCTTCCTTTTAGTAAAATGGCCCAATTTTTCCTCCCTGGGAATTGCTCCTCCCCTGTTGCACACAGTCTTAGAGCTCTGCAAGCCCTGACTCCCACTAAGCCAGTCAACCCATCTCCAAGAGGAGAAAGTAACCAGGGTTCAACCTGGCAGTGATGCTGAAAAGCTGACATTAATTTGTCCCCATCTTCCATATCCCAGGAGTGCCCCAGTTCAGCTTTACTTCTGATTTTATGAACTACCCTTCTCTTTTAAAAGAAAAAAAAACATTTTTTTCTTGCTTCACACGCTAGAATCAAAGTTGGTTACTTGCAATCTAATATAGATTTATATTCTTGAATATATTAGGTTAAAGCATCTACTTATAAGTCAACATTTCTACCATTTTCTTGCACCTTTGAAGAGATTGCATTTACCCCAGCAAAATTAAATGCTAT